AGTCTCTACATTTAAACGTTCACTGAAAGGTCATAATACAGTAAGTCAAAACACAGAGAAAATAGAAATAGAGAAAAATCTTAAGCTATTTCATGATGCCAAGGAAAATGGCCCTATAGACACTGTGGCAGCTTTCACCACGCGTGCTTTCATGGTCCTCAAAAGGAGCGTGGGGGTTTGTCTCTTCTCCCTTGTCACAGCATCACAGAATCACCTTGGTTGGAAAAGACCTTTAAGATCATCTAGTCCAATCATTAGCCTAACACTGACAAGTCCTTGACTAAACCATATCTCTAAGCACTACGTCTACCCAACTCTTAAACACCTCCAGGGATGTGGACTCCACCACTGCCCTGGTCAACCCGTTCCAATTCCTGACTACCCTTTTGGTGAAGAAATTTTTCCTGATGCCCAATCTAAACCTCCCTTGGTACAAATAATAAAGTAAGCAGTTTGTGTAGAAAGGCTTTTTATTTTGAAAAATGTTTTCTCAAATTTTTGAAATACAGTGTAAAGTACAACATAGAATTATGTCTGCAAGTCAGCTTATGCATGTCATGCCAATTATTTACATGTAGATATATACACAGAGTGCAGATATTTATTGAAACCACACTACAAAATAAACAGAGAGTTCAATATGATAATTTAGTAGGACTTTATTAAATATATATATAGTTACTGATTATATATACTTTCCTATTAAAATACCATATAGTATCTAAAGTAACCCCTATAAACTCTAATACCTCCAAAATTGTTATAAATATGATTTGAAAATTGAAACTATTCATGTGCCCTGTTCAGATGCTTTGCCCTTTGCTGTAACAGAAACTCTTGTAGTGCTGAGATCATGGTACCAGAACTTTGATGACAATTCCCAATAAAACATTTGCAAATAGCTCAGATGCAGAACAGCTATCAACTGAGACATCCAAGGGTTGAAGCACCATTCTCTATTCCTAAAATAACAAGGATAATCCAATGGCTTATTAAATACTGCCACATACAGGACAAACAAATCCACAATGCCACGAGCTTCAGTGACTGAATTACAACATTGAATTAGTAGCTCTTTGGATACCGAGCACCTACCAAAACAAAGCAAACTCCCAAAGCCCATGCCAAATTGTATCCAAAAAGAAAAGGGACTTCCCACCTTGTGCCGAAGCAGCCTGATCAACAGCCTGACTTTTGCGTGAGCAGCAAGTGGATGGGG